CCTCTCTGTTAGTCCCGCCTATACTTCCTGCCTGGCTACTGGCCAATCAGCTTTATTTATTACCCAATCAGAGCAACACATTTGACATACAGAACATCCCACAGCACTTTGGCTTGTGATGGTTGCCAGCAGCCCTTGGCATTCCTTATTGTTGACTATAGCACTTCAGTGCCAGCCTTTGTCTTCCACACTTCTGTCTACCAAAGTTCAATGTTTGTCTTAGAAGGACCTTTGTCACAGTGCCCACGATCTGGGATGATCTCCTTATTTACACCATTCTGAACTTAATTATATCTGTAGAGACCCTTCTTTCAAATGGACTCAGAGTTACAGATTCTAAGAATTAGGATGTCTTTTTTTTAACTTTAAATTTTATTTTATGTGTAATAGTATTTTGCCTGCATATATGCCTGTGTACTACTTGCATGCCTGTTGCCTAAGGAGGTCAGAAGAGGGTGTAAGATCCCCTGGGTCTAGAGTTAATTTTGAGCCATCATATGGATGCTGGAAATTGAACCTCCGTCTTTTTGAAAGAGCATCTAGTGTACTTTTTTTTTCTTTTGGTTTTTCAAGACAGGGTTTCTCTGTGTAGCCCTGGCTGTCTTGGAACTTGCTCTGTAGACCAGGCTGGCTTAGAGCTCAGAGATCTACCTGCCTTTTCCTCCTGAATGCTTGGATTAAAGGTGTGGGCTGACACTACCACCCGGCAGCATGTAGTGTTCTTACTGAGTCTGCTTTTATATATGAATTTGTTCTTTCTTGCAGCTTTCTCCACACTCTTTGTCCTGTGTGTTTAGTTTTTTAGTTATGGTATGACATGCAGAGTTTCTTTTCTGGTCCTGCCCAGTTGGTGTTCTGTGGACCTCTTGTATCTCTTTGGGCACCTCTTTGTCTAGAATTGGGAAATTTTTTCTATAATTATATTTCCTGTTCATTTGGCATGAAATTCATATCCTTGTATGCCTATAAATTTTGCCTTTTCGTGCTGTCCCAAAGATCTTGCATGTTCCATTCACATGCTCCACCCCCCCCCCCCAAACAGAATTTCTCTGTGTGGCTTTGGAGCCTGTCCTGGAACTCACTCTGTAGCCCAGGCTGGCCTTGAACTCACAGAGATCCGCCTGCCTCTGCCTCTGGAGTGCCAGGATTAAAGGTGTGTGCCACCACCACCCGGCCACATGTTCTTTTAAATTTATCATTGACCTAGACTGGGTGATGAAGTTCTTCTACCTTGTTTTGAAGCCCTGGAATTCCATCCTATACATGAGCCTTTCTATTTATGAAGGTTCCCACTGAGCTTCATTTGACCTACTGCATTTTTCCTTTCCATCTTCATCTCAGTTCAGTTTTCTTCAATGTTTCTATCAAATTCTATTTTCACAGCCTGAATTGACCTCCTTATTCCATTCAGCTGTTTTTATTCTCTTCGAGTAAATATATCCATGTCCTTTTTGAGTTGTTGGATCACATTTATTATTGTTCTTTTGAATTATGTATCTGAAATTTCATGTGAATCATTTTCATTGGGGGCCATAACTGTGGGATTGGTCATTTTTGGAGGAGACAAGTTATTTTAGTCTTTCACATTCCTGGTGGGTTTTGTGTTGGGACATACCCATCCTTGTTTGTTAGTATTTTTGTTGTTAATATTTTCATTTATTTAGAGACAGGGTTTCTCTGTGTAGCCCTGGCTGTCCTGGAACTCACTATGTAGACCAGGCTGGCCTCATACTCACAGAGATCTGCTTATCTCTGCCTCCTAAGTGCTGGAATCAAAAGTATGCTCCATCACCACACAGCTATTAAATTTTTAAAATTTAAATTCAGGTTGCCTTTCTGCTTTTAGTGGGAATGTTTCCAGAGTTCAGGAAAGACCAGTAGGTTGAGGTGACATTTTCTTATTTTAGACTGTTGTTCAGGGCACTGTCTAGCAGTGAACCCACCGTGAAAACAGAGTGTCAGTTGACTACAAAACAAGCATTCCTTAAATACAACTTGTTAGGGGGCCTGAAGGGCCACCAATTGCACTGTGTGTGCTAGTTAGTGTATTAGTTACTGTGGTTATGAGTGGGGAGAAAAGGACAAAAGACCACAGTGAGATTGGTAATTACTCATGGGTCACTGTAAAGTGGGGGAGGGGCTTATGTGGAAGAAGGAATGGTTGAAATAGGTGAGATGTGGGAGTTGGGGTTATAAGAATAAGCTGAAAGGAAATCTCAAAGACATATTAAAATAATAACCAGTCTCATCTCTCGAGAGGTTGGGTTACAAGAGACTGACCCAGGGCAGCCTGTGTTCTTTGGGAGAGAAAAAGGTAAAGATAAGATACAGGGGGAAATTAAATAAATATATAAAAGGTGCAAACAACCAGAGACTGAGGTGGTCTGCACAGTTGACCTTGGGTATCCTGTAAGCAGGAAGAGTTGTAGAGAGGAAGAGCTGGGTGGAGACGGTGTGGCCACGTTGTTTGATGACTCCCTGACTTAGTGGGGTAGTGGTGAGGATCTGTGTGTGTGTGTGTGTGTGTGTGTGCGCGCGTGCGTGCGCGCTCTGACCACTATTGGGGAACCAGAGTTAGCGCTAAAAATGAACTGGAGCTGCACAGAGGCATGGGTGTACTATCTAACCACTCATGGTGAGCTGGAACCCTGTGGTATTTAAAATGATAGTCACAGAGCTGTGCGGCTATCACCATGACTTTAGTTACTTCTGTCCCCCTAAAGAGAAACCTCACATTCACTGTTACAGAAGCTGTTGGGATTAGAACCTGGGCTCTGGCAGACCTAACAATCTGTTGTGCCACATGTCCTCAGTAGGCCAGTTAAATAAGTTATAGTGAAAGGTATGGAAAGGAAATTCAATGT